AATGGTGGCAGTGGTAGTGGTGGTGCACCTACTGGTAGCAGTAACGCACGTTTCCGTGGGCAAATGTTACGTTCGCATACGGATTCACATATAGATTATACAGGGGTTGATGAATCTGAAGCACCGGGCTCCTCTTTTTATATTACACGTGATGGCGGTATTGATTATGAAATTGTGCTACTGGCGGTTTACAATGTTTTTAAGAGAGACATGACTATCTGTTCACTGAGGGTACTGGAAGCTGGTCTAAATATTTGCGAACTTTTGTTAGAAATGGGTGTATTGAAATTGGGTGGTCATGCACATGAAACTGCTATGGGTATTATTAGAAGAGCATTACTTATTTTAGGTTGCCCAAATGGTTGTAATGATGGTAAGAATTTATTTTATTTTTAATTATAATTTTTTTTTTATAATTTGTAATCATTTTTAATTTCATTTCTTCCAGGGGTGCGTGGTCCTCCAGCAGATTTCCTACGTAACCAATGCCAGAAGATACTTTCTCGTATGCTACGTCAAGCAAATCAGCGCACAAAACGTTACTTGCAGCAAATGGTGAAAACAACGCAGCTTCAGGAGTTAATCGATTTCTTCCATGCTTTCGTGGCATTCTGTGTGGATCCAAGCTCTCTCTTATCACCGCTGAGTAAGTTGTATGCTATATATACTTAAGTCTGGAACAGTTTGCTTTTAGATTAGAATTTGAATCGTATCATAAAAGTTACATGATTTGAAGATGATGCAAGTATAGGCGGTAATGTAGGTGCACTCCCTTTACTTTTCATTTAAGACTCAAACTCCAATTTGGACTTTTCAATTATTATTTTACTCCAACAATAGCAACTAACTGACACTTTTATATCTGTTGTAATATGTATATATGTATATCATAGATATATACATATACTTAGATTTTCATTTTATTTCTTTAATTTATAAAAATTCTTATTTTATTTAAGTTCTGCTATTGCATGCTCGACAAGAGAATGGCTTCTTAAAACAGCTTTTAAAATCATGTCCATCACACCACACCTGAATAGATTCGAACTAATCACTCATAAAATCATTAAAGCTTGTATATAAAAATAAATAAAAAAATTTTAGATTGTATTTGCATGACTTTAGTTTGAGTTATATTTTTTTTTCGTTTTCGTTACGTTACCTTTATCTTACGTTGACTGTACCCCTGTGAAAACCACACACCAAATCTCGTTGTATGTACAAATGAATATGATGATAGCTCATAAACGTACGAGTGGATTAAAAAATGTTAACACCGATCTTGGCGGTGGTATATCATCATCAGGCGGTCAGGGTGGATACTCAACCAATTTCAGTGGAGGCCTAAGTGGTGGACCGGAATCTCAGGTTATAGCTGCCGTATTCAAGCCATTGGTTACACGTTTCGTGGATGCTTCCAAGGATTTGAAAACAGCTGAAAATACTCCATTGTATAGTGATGTTAGACAGTTGGTGACATATGTAAAGGGTGCACATGGGGGACCTTTCAGATTGGTAGCTTTGAGTGGCATTTTGGCTGTGACACCACGTCCCCACAAGAAGGGACCAATATCACAAACTACAAGAGTAATAAGGTGAGAGTTTCAGAAATTATGAAAATACATATTATGTATAATAAAATTATATAAAATAATATACTATATATTTTATAATATGTATATCAAATACAATAAATGTCCAATTTAACAAATGGCTTCTAGTCCATTCGTTAAATCGAATGAATATATTAAACAAGGAAATATAGCTTTCAGTTTATTTATTTTTTCTGCTTTTAGTTTCATAAAATGAAGATTTTAGTATAATATCTCTTTTTTACATGAGTCCATTTAAGAGTATATTTATGGGGTATTTATGTTATATGTCAAATTTACATGCAGGACGGTTTTTGACTGCTACACATCGCTAAATGAGTTGTTGACGGAATTTAACATTTCTCTAGACTGGGTTCCTAGTCATAGGGATATTTTCAGCAATTACAAACAAGCTTACCCGACGGGGTGTCTCAGTTAACCAATCTGAATATCAGATGGATCTGGGCATACCACTGGTTGTTAAACCAGACAGTTATTAAAATCTTTCTATATTGAGCAATTTAATGCTAGGTGAAAAAATGTAATGATATGTAGATATTCATATACAAGTTCTGTCAAGATATAATCCAGCAACCTCATTGAGACGCTCTGTAAAGACATCATAATACCTTACTCTGATATCGGGGTAGGATATAGTATCATTAGCCTAGCATAAAGATATTATAATAGTTAAAATTGAATGTTCCATTTAATTATTTCTGTCACAGTTGTTGGGAGGACGATAAAAATGCCTCACATCTGAGTTGTTACTGTCCAGCTGATACGCGGCGGTGATTGACTATGCTAGGGGTTTTCTTTTTTGGTTTTGGTTTTTGGGTTTTTTCAAAAGACCATTTATGGTTTTGCCATCAAGAAAGTTTTTAAATCTTTCAGTTTTTCAATGATAGCACAGAGGGCCGAATCTAATTTAACCTAAGGTGTTATTCGTAATTTTTTTGTAATATTATTTGAGTTGAGTATTCATTACATTGGACGTATTCTGAAAACCATAATGCATTAATAGTAATATTTATTTTATTATATTAGTTAACTTAAAATTATTTTTTTATATACAACAGACATATACCACAAGCTGAGATCTCCCAAAATATAACAAACGATGATAATCGCTCACAACGAAGATTTTTATTAAAAAAACGCAGTACTTCATCGGCCTGTGCAGTGGTAAGCAGTTCACACTATTAAAAACTTTACTAATCAAAAATTTTTATAGAGCCTCCTCGAAACAGAGCCTTGCGAAGAGCATTACAAAACAAGCCAATCACCGTTAAGTAATTTTCGACGACGTACTACCGGTGTCAGACCTACACTTACACCACGTCATAGCGAACGTGCACTATTATCTGATTCAACTTCAAGCTCTGAACGCAATTCACTTGGTCGTCTCAGTGGGCTAGTGCGTTGGTTTCGTGGTACACCTAAAGAGGCTTCATCAATTGATTTGGAAATCGGTTCACTCAATCCTGAAATCACATCAACTTTTATTAGACATGCTTCACTCAAAATTCAACGTGGACGTTCTAGTGAAGGTATTGGACGTTCTATACAAAGAGCAAAACGTCGCGTAGAACGACGTCTAAATCGTTTTGGTGGTATTGTTAAGGGTAAGAAAAAAGTTGGTGGTATTGAAGAAACTGCAGACTATAGTCGACGTAGTTCATCTGATATGTGTGATGGTCCACGTGAGTCGGAAGTTGTGGTATTAAAAGAACGTAAATTAATACCTTTAGAACCAGTACGTTTGGGCATGTTGCGTTTATCATTCTTATTGGAGACTTGTGCACCAGGTTCATTTCCAGATCCACAACTGGTAGCAGCTGTTTTAGATTTGGTTAGTTTATATAATTATGTTATTTTATAATGTATATAAAGGTATAAAATTTTTTTTTAGCCACAAGCACCACTTGTAACGCGTGCTACTTTTCTATTGGAATGCGCTCATTTTGTACATCTTTGTAATAAAGGACAATGGCCAGCTTGGATGAAGCAGAATGTTGGTGGTTATAGACAGTCTGGTACGAATATTAATGTTAACCAAACAAAACAACAAATGAGTACGACAAGTACTAGAAGAACACATATACTGCAGCGAGCAGCTGGGAAAATGTTTCATCAGGTAAGTGGCTATTAGCATTTTTATGAGAATACAGGATTATGTCCCCTGTAACGTAAACTTAATTCGGATGATTCATAATGTCACCAGCTTTTATTTATCTTTCCAAAGCGGTTAAAACCTATTTAAATTTATATTCGAATATACTATAGATCTTTTATATTATATAGAAAATAACAAAAAATTCTGTTGTGGTTAATTAATTAGTTATAT